GCATGACCCGCGAACGCATGGTAGCTGTCGGACGATGAGCAATACCCACGCCAAGTTCTGCAGCGATACGCTCAGTTGCTTCTGATGCTTTCTTTATGTATGGCAGGGGTTGCCAGAGTGTCGGTGGCTCTCCCCCATTTGTTCCCCGTAGGTGCGTACGGAGGCAGCGGCTGAAGAAGCTGTTCGGGTATCTAGTTATTGCTAGTTGGTACTAAAGGTGCCTTAGTGTTCGCACTCGTCCCTCAGGTTCACGGCAATATGTTTTTACTCTCTGAAAGAGTACTCTAACACAGCCGCGTTTGTGCGCCATTGGGTGGTCTGCCTTTTCAATGTAAGCTCAACTTTTTAATCGCTACTTCAATTCGTTACGAATTCTTGGAAATGCAAATCATTGAATGCGGAAAGCCCTTATAGAAAACGCTGGTCCACTCTGGCTGCTAGGCAGGGCAATTTAGCATTCGCCTTTAAGCCACTTGCAGCTCAATGCGTGGCAACGTAGTTTGAGGACAAGTGTTGAACGGTGTCGATAGGTTCAAAGTTTGCATACTTGAAGCCGATCAGTCTCTCGACAGCCTCTAAGGGCCAAAGTGCTTTATCGTACACGCAGTCGATAATTCATCTGAACGGATCCAGCCGTATGATACGACTAGCATAGTTCACGGAGACTTACCTTGAATTGTTATACGTTCAGATTTTGACCTCAACACAAGTGCTATTTGGCCGCCAATAAACCGAACGACACTAAACGATACAGGGATTTGCAAATTGAAATTATTGACAGTCCCTCTGGCTATAATGACGTTATAATCTGATCGGGTTTCTGAAGTCCAAGCAATCATGAATCCTTTCAGTTGAATGTTTGCATACCATAAAAACATCGATAATCTATCTGTCACTCTTCCTATACATCGACGGTGAGACAGATCGATCTCGATTCTATAGGCCCTGTATCTTCTGCTCACCGGGAAAAATGAAGTCAAGTAGAGAACTTCTGCCGGCAAAAAACTGGACAAACTTTTTTTTAAAAAACAAGTGTAAACAGCAGGATTTATTTGTACAAACAAAGTTCAAGACGGTTTTTAAACTGCTGCCCGTCTTTGTGTGAGACAGATAACGGATGGAGTACACAATGCTTTAACTTAAACTTCCATTTCCGACTCATTTGTAGACATCTGTCAGTCCTGTATTAGCCCCAGATTTTGGCAGAGACAGGCCTCCAAAACTATCTAATGGGTCATGTAGCATTAAGGAAAAGGCTATTTTATTGAAGTATACGCCTGAGTCCATCGGTCGTAGTCAAGAGTACTCAACTTCAGGGAGACTGGACGTGAGTCAAAGTTATAACTGCTGAAACATGCATCTTTCATCCTGCCTTAAGCTTGAATTGAGAGCCTTCACGAGGGGTCGCATAGAAGCTTTTCAGTACTCTTTTCATTTTTAATTTTTTTTTCACTG